TCTCTCTCTCTCTCTCTCTCTCTCTCTCTCTCTCATACACACGAACACACACACACACACACACACACACACACACACACACACACACACACACACACACACAAGCAAAAACGACCAAATGCAAAGGCATTGCTCCATTGCAACTGTGAATGCTATTCCCAATTGAAAGTACTAAGGCAACTTTAGAGTCGGGGTAAGGTAGCCTGCCACTCCGGGGAAACCCCGCAGTCTCAGGACTAACCAACATTTCTAGGCTCCATCTATTGGTGGCGAGCAGCGGTTGCATGAATGATTTCAAGTCTAACCATGAATAGACTTATCAGACAGAAAGAGAGAGGAGGGGAGAGAGGGAGAGAGAGAGTTCCACCTCTGCAGAAGATCTAGAGAAGATGTGTGAGCAGACAAGAGGAAGACGAAGTGGAAAGGAACATGAACAGCTGCAACAAGGATGCAACATTCAACAGAGACATAGCACCAGCATTTGTGCGTCGTTGACTGAACCACTCACTTGACTTCAAAGGCATTGTCACGAGAGGTGTCAAACGTCTTGGAAATAGTATCACTCATCCATTCTAACGAGCTTTTGGCTGTGTCAATCGTATGATAAGACACATGCGTAAGAAACACAAGTGGATACGCCAGCCGCTCTGTAGCCCAGTGCTGAGGCACCAGAAGCCGACACACACAAAGACAAATGACAAGTATTTCGTTATTTACCAACTTTTCAACTCGAAAAATCATAACACTAATCTCAAACAAACATAACATTGCTATTAGCTCAACGACTTAATTAACTTAAACATTTTCCATCACTGCGATGAGTCATCTTGACGACCGATGCCTCTGTACTTTTTTTGCCTTCATTGTGCAAATGTCACTCTCCAAATGCATTTAGATGTAAAGCCAGCCAGGTGTGCGCAAGTTGTACTGTCACATATGGTGACCCATGTGGATTGTGTCAGAGGCATTTGGGCACATAAGCAACAACGGAGAGCCAAGTGACCGCTGAAACTAAATATTACAATCCTCCAATGCACTATAACATCATCATCACCCACGCTTTTGCACAACTTCCAGGCTGCAAGCAAACAAGTTCGCCTCAATGAAAAGGATGATTTGTATATCCTAATAGATGTAATGACCCGCCAAAACACAGACTGAGAACACCGCTGATTTCTGGGATTTGCCGCTGGAATGAATGCCTTGCTGAGATTCCCGCATTCTGCTGTGGTTTCCAAGTCTCTGTGTGTGCGCGTGCCTGCTGGTTTGCGTGCCTGTCTGAGTGCTTGTCGGCTGAGTGTGTGTGTGACCCGCAAGGGTAGTTGTTGGTTGAAAGGCCCCGCAGGGCAGGTACTTACCTGTGGCCGTGACTTTGAGGGTTGCAGAGGGGAAAACACTCAAGTAGTGGGGGTAGGCCCGCGACACTTAGAACAGCGGGGAAAAACACTCAAGTAGCAGGTAGGCCGGTACCACTCAAGTAGTGGTAGGAGTGTCGGGTACTGGAGGCCGAGCAGAAGAAGACAAAAAGTTGGCATTTTTAGAGGCCCAGTAGCGGTAGGATAGAGGTAGGCCGGTACCAGTCCAAGTAGCCTGAGTCTAGGGCCTGTCTGGGCGATAGCAGAGCCTGCAATGATGTTTCCCTCCGAAAGGGAGGAGGTACCGGTTGCTGGGAGGCCGCTCGGCCTAGGAAGTCACCGCCCAAGAGGCCAGTAGGTCGCCATCCAGAGCAGCAAGCAGCTCCTCCTCATTTGCGGTATGCAAGGATTGGCGACATGCTGCTGGAGCCAAGCGCTGGACTTGTACAGCGCTGCCTGGAGGTGAAAGGCAGCTGGGCGCTCAGCCTGGCTATGGCGAGCAGCCCAGCCTGAGGAGGACGAAGGGGCGAAGGAGGAGAGTGGCGAGGTACCTACCTGGCTATGGTGGACTCCATCTTCATCACCTTGTTGGGCGCTGCGTCTGGAAGGCCCCAGTTGGGGTAGTGCCGCACCAAGGAAGCTCGAGGCAGAGTCAGGCATGGCGGCTTAGTCAGCAGCGGCATAGCTGCTTTGGGTTGTCCTTTGGACAGGAGTGCAGCGACATAGCTGCTTTGCATTGTCCTTTGCACAGGAGGGCAGAGCCCTCAGTAGTCCGCCATGGCCTAGGCATGTGAGAGGTGGAAGAAGGGAGGGAAGCCATAGCTATGGTGGACCTATTGTGATGTCAGCAGTAAGAAGGAACTGGACATTGATTCTGGTTCATCCACTCATTGTTATTATTATTATTGGAAGAAGAATAAGATTGGCAAAGTGGAGGAGGAGGAAGGTGGAGAGAGAAGGGGGATTTTTCATTGGTCTTGCTGATGTACATCTTCTTCTTCTTCTTCTTCTTCTTCTTCTTCTTCTTCTTCTTCTTTCTCTCTTCTTTGGTCTCTATCTCTTCATTTCTTTCGCAATTGGGTGGCATTGTCTTTCATTGTGAATTTGCACTTTGGGAATGACCAGGATCGTAACATAGATCAAAACCACAAAAACTGTTCTGGGAACAGGGCGCCTGCCGGCCATGGCTAGTCATGAAAAAATCAAGTCATGGGCCTACTTTACTGTGCATGCCATATACAGTGCAGTCCATCCCACAGCGGCAATTCATAATTCTTTTTTTTTTTTTTTTTTTTTGGACCATTTCTCGATTTATGCGTGTCGTCCTTGCGCAGGGGTCATGCTAATCTTCTCTGTATCGTTCCAATTTTAACGGATGTCCCGAAGGACGCGGCAATTCATAATTCTCATCTCCATTGATGAATAAAATTGAATAAAATCACGGATGTAGGTTAGATGCCTCTGCGTACAAAGGAGGGGGGGGGGGGGGGACCAAAAAAAGAAGAAGCAAGCCTGAGAAGCCTGCCACGAAACAAAACAGCATCCACCAAACACATAGGACTGGCCCCCCCAAGCTGCGGCCCAGTAGGCCCAAAACTGTAAATTTCGGTTCCCCGGGGTCAGGAAAGCCAACAGGTTTGTGAAAATAGGTTCAGGGACAGTGATGGTTTAAGAAAACAAGCTGTCTGGAAGGAGCTGGTGCTGAAACCCAAGTTGAAACTCAGGTTTTTCAGAGTTTGAGGCATTGCGAATGAGAGGAAGAGACAAAGTTTACTTAGTTGAAGGTATTAAAAAAAAAAAGTGTACTCACAAAGAGTGGCTTAATAATTACGCAATGGTACACATCCAACACAAGATCAAATCGAGTAATAACAACCTACCAATCACCCATAAACTCACGAACTTAAGATGCTCAGATCGACTAATAACAACAAGATAATGTCACGATTGATATACCAATGGCGTCAAATCGAGAAAACTGTGCAGAAAAGAAGATCAAGAGCATGAAATCTATTTTCATCAAGACATTAAGAATAAGTACAATGTTCAAGCCCCTCCTCCCACTTCTACTTTGCGCACTTCTCCTCATCAGTTGCAAGATGCCACCTCAAAGTATTATCCTCATCTATCTACTGGCAGATTTCACACCCCTCCTCCACTGCCAAACCAGACTCAATGTCACTGGCCAAGCCAATCTCTCTGTGACTCCAGCCTATTGAAGCCCAGTGCAAGCAATGTGGAAACTTGGAATGACAATACCTTACAAGCAATGCTGAAATTGAAATGGCCATCTATCTACTGGCAGATTTCACCCCACTCCTTCACTTCTCAGTGTCAACCTGCAGCTATGGTAACCTTCTTCCTTGCCAGCACCTCATCGCCTGGTCTTGCATACACTGGCACTTACACTCCCCCACTCACAGCACACCAGTGCCTCATACCCGTGTTCTATTACACCAGCACTTATACCCTTGCCCTTCATCAGACAAGCGCTAACGCATCTCCCTTCGCATTTACCAGTGCCAATGTTCCTGGCCCTCTGTATCGCCAGCAACATCCGTATGAACTTATTACTATGAAGTCCTCGAATAAACAAGGGGCAGGGGATTCTCTGTTGTCACAAAGAACTGCCCAGCGAATGTGCAAAATGAACGTCATCAGAATTTCACTGGCTCCCCAGGAAGCCGAACCACCGACAGTCTGTGGCGCCCCCTTCATTCACCGGAGATTAAACTGGGCTATCCCCTACCAACGTATAGGTGCACAGTCACTGCAGTTGTATATATTTTATAGATATATATACCGTCACAAACAGAACTATATTATTATTATATATATATATCGTCATATATCGTCACAAACAGAACTGCCCGGTAAACCGTAGGCAGAGAGAGAGAAGAGGACAACAAACGAGGGATCCTGATGAGTCGGTGAAACTCCGACGAAACAGTTTGTCACAGCCCCTCGTTTGTTGTCCTCTTCTCCCTCTCTGCCTACGGTTTACCGGGCAGTTCT